TATTTAAAAACAAATATACTTCAGGATTTAAAAATGTCACACTCAATCTGTCTGCAAATTTCTAACCTGCTAGACAAATCTCAACTTTTATTTCTCAATATATAACACAATTTATAAAAAAGATTCTAAACACAATTTTAGATATCCTCCTCTTTATTCTTAACCCATATTTTAAGAAGTCTGCAGCTTTATCACACTCATAAAATTAGAAGGGTAACTAAACTCAAGCAAGAAAACATTAAGAACTAACTAGTAATCATCAGAGACCTGTAAAAATGCTTCATGTCAAAAACATTTAAAAATGCAATGAAAAAAACTGATGGCAATGAGGTGACATGAGCCTCTATTCCACACACTGTACACCAGGACCTGGTGGGAGTGCAGCTTACACATCCGCCCTCAGGAGCAATGGAAGAGTCTAGGCTTCCTGAGAGTACACACGAGAACCACAAGCTCATCTGGGGATGGGTACTGCTGCGAAGAACCTTGAGTTGAGGTATTCCACACACTGTACACCAGGACCTGGTGGGAGTGCAGTTTACACATCGGCCCTCAGGAGCAATGGAAGAGTCTAGGCTTCCTGAGAATACACACGAGAACCACAAGCTCATCTGGGGATGGGTACTGCTGCGAAGAACCTTGAGTTGAGGGTGCCTCTGGGGAGGGGTTATTCAGGGTTCAGAAAAAGCCCACACACAGCCAAGGGAGAGCTGGAATAACGAAGATGACGATACTACCGCAGAGCACCGTGGGGCACGAGAGTTGGGCAACACGGAAGGGGCCAGCTGGGACACAGCAGTAAAGTGAGGGAGCTAAAACGAGCCGCAGCCCTGGACGCTGGGAGAACAGAGACAGCTGCTGCGAAAGACCCCAACGCTCTAAGGCGCAAGCTGCTCCCTCGCGTCAGTCGGCTACATGCTGCCTCCTTTAAGCAGCAGCCTACAGACTTTTTTTTTTTTTAACACTATAACTACAATAAGAAGTAAGACTTTACATTACAAGTCAGCACACACACGTAAAAACAAACAAGTTTCTCTCTATATATCCTCATTACATGTGTTACTGTTACTTACACTTGTATTCTTTTCTTTTTCATGTAAAAAAAAGCTGCTGGACCCAACCCACTGAGTTGGTTTTAAAACGTCCTAGGTCATGTCCTGCAGTTTGACAACCACCGGGCTGGAGAAGCCACTGCTCTACTTCAGAGACAGGCGAAAGTCAAGGGTCGCTTGAGATCACAGCTCAGCTTGATTCCTGTCCCTCTACTGGTCAAATTTCTGATTTCTTTCATTTTCTTGGGAATAGATTTCAAACCAGCCGGGCATGAAGGACTTTCAACATCCAGCCCAACCACTGTTCCAATCTTCATCTTGCACAGTGAGCCCTCAAGAACATGCATCCCATTCAACTGACTGCTCAGTACCCACTGTCCACATCCCAGGTTTCCCACCTTTGCCTCTCGCTGGGATGCTCTTCCCCTCATTGCTCATTTCCACCTATACAAATCCCCAATTCTCCAAGATTGAACTAAGGCAGCCCCTCCACACAGAACAAATTTCTTCTGCCTCCAGAATTCCAAGCCCCTTGTCCTTCCCTGCTGTCTCTCTATCTTCCATTCACACACATCTCGCCACCACTCTCATATCATATACCACCCAACTCCACTCCACTCCCATGCTCTTGAGCCCAAATACAGTCTTGAAAAAAAAATTTTAATTTAAATTTAAAAACTTGGTATATACTTTACATGTTGCTATGATCTGAACGTTTGATCCCCACTGTGGCACTGTCGAAAGGTGGAGGTCTTTAGGAGGTGACTGGATTGTGAGGGTCCTGATGGGTTATCACTGCTGTGAATTGGTGGCTTTATAAGGAGAGCACGTGAATATGCTCTTCCTCAGCCCTCACCATGGGATACCCTGTGCCACCATGTGACTCTGTACAGAGTCCCCACCAAGAAGGCCCTCACCAGATATGCCCCTGGACCTTGGCTTTCCCAGTCTCTAAAACTGGAAGAAATAAAATTTGTTTTCTTATTAATTACCTAGTTTCAGGTATTCTGTTACAAGCAATAGAAAACTGACTAATACACGTGTTGATTGAATGTATCAGCCCTTTTTCTGTTGCTTGTAACAGAATATCTGAGACTGGGTAATTTATAAGAAACGTAATTTATTTCTTACATTTTGGGAGGCTGGGAAGTCAACAATCCAGAGAACACACATCGTGAGGGCCTTCCTCTGGGTGGGAACTCTCTGCAGGGTTCCCTGGTGATACAGGCAATCAATCATATAGCAAGGGTGGCAAGAGCTACATCTCTTTCATGTGCTCTCCTTATAAAGCCACCAGTCCCCCCACAACAACCCATTATACCATCGACCCATCACTGCATAAAAGGGGTCCAATCACCTCTCCAAGGCCCAACCTTTCAAATACCATAATTGATTTCCCACCTCTTAACACTGTTATCTTGGGGATCAAGTTTCCAATACATGAACTTTTGAGGGACACATCTGGCCCATAGCAATGAATAACTGAATACACACCTCCCACCCACGTAGGGAAAAAGCTGCCTACCTGGGACTGTTGGTGCTAACGAATGAGGAAGTTCAGGTGAGGGCCTAAACGACCACGAACCCCTCCACCAAAACAGAACTGTGTATTCCCTTCAGCAGATACTACACCTTCAATACAGATGTTTACTCTAATGAATGTTCAGAATTTCTTTCAATAAAAAAGTAGTAGAACTATAGATTAGCAGTTTAGCAATCATACCATGCTTCACATTTCAACTTCTCTTACTTAAAATCTAATCTCCCAAATGTCAAAAAGCTATCCATAAGACAGATGGGCAGTACTTGATGAAATGAATATATCCCACCAAGTTTCTCTTTCTTTGGCTCATTATTATATGGGCACACTGGCCCACCTTCCCTCAACTCAGCCTCCTGTCCTAGTTACCATATTCTTTTGGTTAAGTTATTTCTCTGTACCTTGTTTCAACAACAAAATCCTTCACACCATCTTTTAATCATGCATTTTCATTTCAGTCTCCCTAATAATTAAAAAGACTTTCTTGGCACTAAGTCAGAAATATTAATATCAAAGTGGCTTAAATTTATAGCCAAATATATTTTATATTGATCTTTTAACAGCTTCCTCATTTGACAAATATTTATCAAATAACTGCTATATACTCAAACAGTGAACTAGAAGCTTAATAGACCTTTGCGGTATTAAACTAAAAATGCCACATTTCCAAATCAAAGAAGATAATGGGATAACAGCAGATTCAAACTATATTGCAGTCATCCCTCAGTATCTGAGAGGGACTGGTTCCAGGACCTCCCACAGATACCAAAATCCATGAGACACTCAAGTCCCTGATATAAAATGTAGTATTTGCATATAACCTACATGCATCCTCCTGTATACTTTAAATCACCTCTAGATTATTTATAATACCTAAGATAACATCAATGCTGTGTAACAGTTGTTACACTATATTGTTTAGGGAGTAATGACAAGAAAAAAAAAGTCTGTACATGTTCAGCACAGACATTTTTTTTTCCAAATATTTCCTTTCCATGGTAGGTTGAACCCACAGATGTGGACCCCACAGATAGAGGGCAACTCTATCCCATGGTGAAAATCATATACTTATGTTCATACTTCTTGTACTACAAAGAATCAGTATGCAGTAAGGAAAAAAATTCTAAAGATACACTCAAAGTAAAATGGTTCAAAAATGTATATAATGTGATAAATTGTCAAAAAAAAAAAGGAAACATTAAAAACTTTAAAATGCACCAATCTTTTAGTTTTAGGAATGCTACTCAACTGTAAAGTAAATCAGGCCAAGTATTAAATATATGTATAAAATATACTTCTATTTAATATTAGCAAAGAGCCATTAATATCATTTGATAATAAGTGGTCTTTTCCCTTATATTTTATGTAAACAATATATATTGTTTATGCTCAAATGCCTATGAATATTTAAAATTTATCAAGTATCCCAACATGTTCTACTTAATCCCCTTGAACTATTTTAAGTGTGGATGGCCCTGCCAATGGTGAAATCATGCAAATGTGAAATAATTTTATAACTACAAGGAGTTATCAGGTATGACATTGTTGTAAACTGAGCTATAAGTTAATCAATGAATACCTATTAACTATTAACTAATCAACTACTTTTGTTATTCTTATATATCTTATAAATACATAAAATATCTCTTACCTTAAATATGTGCCATATATGAAGAATAATGCCATCATTAGTCCATTTAAAATAAAAATTGCAGCAACATAAAAGCAAGCAGGGTCTCCCAGTCCTTTAAAAATAAGCAAAACATATGTTCTCACCACAAATTACTTTATGTGTCTAGAAATTTATATTAGACTAAGGTTATTTTGTAAACGGTTTCCAGCTACATTAAACAGTTGCCTTGGTTCTCATATGAAAACATGACACTACTACGGAACATAAAAGAGAACAGGGTAGTATCTGTGGGGGGTTTAAGACAGGGCTGCGAACTCACTGCTAGGCCTCCTATAGAGGCACGAGGCCTGTGCCCTTTTTTGTGTTTGGCTGGGCTTGTGACTGCTTCGACAGAGTGTGGCAGAAGCAACACTAAGTGATTTCTGAGGCTAGGTTATAAGAGGCATGCAGTGCCCAGCTTGGAGAGTTGAACTGCCAAAGGGAAAGCCTGACTACCCTAAGGTCCCTTTGCTGTAAAAAAGCCCGACTACACGAAAAGGCCACGCATTGGTGTCCCAACTGGCAGTCCTAGCTGAGCTCAGCCTCACAATCACCCAGCCCAGAAGCGAAACACTGAAGAAAGTAGCCTCCAGTTTATTCCAGTCTTCCCAGCCATCTGCGTCTCACTAGCAGAAGCCTGGTCATCACGGAGACAACCCAATCCTGCTACATAGGCTGCTCAAATTCCTGATTTGGAGGATCCATGAGCATAATAAAAATGATTGTTGTTTATACCACTAAGTTTGGGGTAAAGTTATTATGCTGGGCAAGTTTGTGGTAAGTTTATTATATTACTACAGATAAATGGAAAATATTACAGAAAGAAACTTACCTTCACAGCTTTCAATAGGACTGAGCCCTTCTCCTCTGGTAACCGTCCAACATATCTTGGTTTGAATACCAATCAAGTCCATTATTTGGGTATAAATCCGGTACCAGCTGGCCAAGATTACCTGTTTAAGAAAAACAGAGACAACATAAGAAATTAATTATTCTAAACTCAAAATGATAAAAAAAAAGAAATTATCATAAACAATTTTCATTGCTAGAATTTTTTTGAGATATTCTGATAATTATAAAATTTTCCTTTCTTGTACCATCCACTTGGCTCCCTTTAAATCTAGTAAAATGAGGCTCTGACTCTCCCACACAGATTCTTCACTGGCTAGTCTCTGACACTTCATCCAGGGGTAAGAATAAAATATAACAAGAAACATGCGAGATTTGTGTTTTCAAAAGCTATGAAACTCTACTAATGGACATAAAAGATCTGAACAAATAGAGAGATACTGTGTTTACTTGAATAGAGCTAATTTTTCAAAATGTGAATTCTCCCTCAAATTAATTCATAAACATAAAACTATCCTAATCAGAATCCCAAGTGTCTAAAACTTATCAAGAAAAAAACCAAAAAGGAAACAACTGAAGGGAATGGCCTAACAGACTAAAACTCACTACGTACAATAATGAAAATAGTATGATACTGGCCCAAGAAGAGCCAGACGGATCAGTGCCGCTGCGGTGGAGGTGTGAGCCACCCAGACCCCCCTTCCAGGGAGGGGCACTCATTCTGCCGCCACTGCTGCTGCTGCCGCTGCTGGGAGGGCTGGAGGCTGACAGCTCTCAGCTGAGTCTGCCCCTGGGAACTGCCTCAGGGAAGGACAACTCTGCAACACCATCCCAGCCCTGAGCTCCCGGGGACTGGCGAGGCCTTTGCTGTGACTGTGTCACAGCTCAACTCCTCCTCCTGCCTTGTCCTGCTTCCTTCACTGCCTTCAGGCACTGACCCCAAGGGCACCCCCCACACACTTCCTGCACACAAGTCTCCCTCTCAAAGTCCATGTTCTGGGACCACAGCCTAAGGTAACACTGCACAAAGTCAAAAACCTGATGTAAGGATATATGTATAATAATTTTGTGTAAGAAAAGTACTTCAAATCAGTGGTGAAAGGATGGACCACTCATCAGAGTGTTAAGGTTACATAAAATATAAGGTTATAGAAAATATAAGGTTACATCCTGGAAAAAATATAAGGTTAGATTCCTAACCCACACTATGCATTTACAAGTACATATGAAAGAAAAATGATAAATTTTAAAAATTCATAGATATATTTCTGTACAGAAAACATACATACACATCACATACAAAGCTAAAAGTCAAACAAAAACTGAGGAAAATGTTTTATCCGTATAGCATAATATTACCATCCTGTGTATAATAAATGAGCTCTTATAAAATTTCAATAGAAATATAGACAAGAGGCATAAACAAGTAAATATTTTTAAAAGTGAAATGCATCATATGGACTACATAGCTTTGAAAAATATATCAATGAGTAAAATATATCATGTGATTTCAATTTCTTTGTCTATCAAACTAGCAAGGATGCAGGTAAAAAAACATTTTCAAAAACACTGCCAGTGGGGTTTCAATTAGTACGATCTATCTGGAAGGCATTTCAGCAACATGTACCAAAATCATTAAAGTATATATTCTGTTGAACTAAGTAGTTCCATATCAACAAATTTGTAGTTTAACAAAGGATGTGTGTAGGGCCGGCCCGGTGGCGCACTGGAGAGTGCGCCGCTTGGGAGTGCGGCGGCGCTCCCGCCAAGGGTTCGGATCCCATGTGGAGACGGGTTCCCGCTCACTGGCTGAGTGCGGTGTGGGAGCGACACCAAGGGTTGCGATCCCGTTACCGGTCAGTAAAAAAGACAAAAAGGAAAAAAAAAAAAAAGGATGTGTGTAAAGATTGAGCTTCAAGGATGGTTACTGTAGCTTTGATTAAAATATTTAAAAAGTTAAAAACAATCAGAATTTCCATAAAAGATGGGCTACATTGACAATGGCAGATCATACAGATAGCCATTAAAAATGATGCTACAGAAGAAAAATGACATAGGAAGACGGTTATAAATATTCTTAAAAGACAAAAGGCACCTTTAAAAAAAAATATGTGCCATGTGACCCCATTTCTGTAAAGTCAATGTGTCCACAGTTCTAGAAAGTACTCAATAAGCAATGCATTAGTGAGAAAACACTGAAACTTTGTGGTTATTTGTCTGTAACCTCCATCTCCTCATTAATCAATCAGGCTAAACTCATTGATCTGGAAGCCAGACGACTCCTCTCACTATGTGGGGAATGACAGAGAGCCCACTAAGGGCTGGTGCTAAGCAGAGGATAAGACAGACAGGGCCCTGCCATCAGGCATGCTAAGAGGGGATGTGAGGAGGTGAACCTCATAGGAGAGCCTCAAATCAAGTGTGTGGGGAATGACAGAGAGCCCACTAAGGGCTGGTGCTAAGCAGAGGATAAGACAGACAGGGCCCTGTCATCAGGCATGCTAAGAGGGGATGTGAGGAGGTGAACCTCATAGGAGAGCCTCAAATCAAGTCAAGGAGGAAGCCACATCTCAGCGAGGCCCTGGAGAATGCTTAGGGATTCCTCAAATGAAGGAAGGGAGGATAAAGGAGAAACTAAAACAAGTCACTGATATCACCACCTTCCTCCCTCACCTGGGCAGGCCCCTTTTCCCCCAGCCCCATCCCATGAACAGGCATTCAATTAAATGAGGAACCCCAGAGAGGGAAGAAACATTATTTGGCAAACAATATATAAAAGTAATAGTGCCCCAGGATGCTATAATCCCTACAAGCACACCAAATCTACATAGTTTTCACATTTTCTAAACACATAGTCACAATTAATAGTTCCCACAGAATTAAAGCCCCCCAAAATCAATAATGATCTTATTTCCATATTCCTTCTGAAGATACATATTTTCTTTTAAAAAATGAAATAAAATTTAATATATTAAATTTTACCTTACATTTAGAATCAGCTTTTAATGCAAAAAAGAGGGAGGTTGGGGATAACTGGGTAGGGGACACAGGATACAAATGCAATTTGTGGTAATGGGTATACCGCCAGTATGAATCTGGCCCCCACATCGTGGGCACAAGGGGTGACAATCAGCTTTGTATCTCATGAATATTCATAACCAATAAAAAAGTAAAATAAAATAAAATTAAAAAGTGAAAAGTCACAATTAGAAAAAGTAACTTACCTCAGGGTAAAGATTGAATCTTTTTAATGTATTAATAACAAGGGGGTACTCAGTCTGTTTATCATTCATAATCATCCATACTCCACTCAAAAATGAGGGTGCTTCCACAATAGTCTTGAAGTAGGAATAATAAAGTCCCTGAAATAAGGATATGCTCCAGTTATAATAAAAGGTACATAAATATCATGCCTCTTTTCAGCTTAAAAAATATTTAAAATACACAGCTTTTGAAAAACAAAGCAATCAAGCAAGTAATAAGTACAATTAATTTCACAGGTTTCTGATCACTGATAATTTCTTAAGTTGTGAAAAACTATATATTTTAACATAACCTTATCTTAAATAAAAATAACTGAATGCAAAATAGCTTCAAAAATAGTTTCAACATTTAAAAAAATAATATAATTCAGCATGCTTCATCTAAGAAAATCTCACAATATGTGCTAGAAAAAGCTATCTTATGAACAGTGAGTGGTTCACTATGGAATTAAAATTTACCATGAACCAAGAAATACTTCGAAGCCAAAAATGCTTCCCCCAATTGCTTATATGAATCTCCAAAATAACACTATCAGTCATCTTTCCTCCAGATTTACGTGCAAAAATGCAAATGTGATGAGAAGGCTATACACTGATGCATTACATATAAATTCCATTCAGATGCCAACTAATTTTACAGATCATTTTTTCTCTTATCAGTTCAGCATAAGGTAAGAACCCTGAGACGGGGGATGCTGGGGGTGGGGGGACCGGTAATGGTCCTGTTTTGAGAGAAAGAGATACTTGTTTAGCTTGACATGCTACTTTGGAAAGATAGCAAGGGTGGAGTAATTCATGGGACAAAAAACAAGAAAGGACTAGAAGCCTAGGGAGGGAGTACAAGTGGCAGTATAGAGGAAGACAGATAAACACAGGGTGCAAACTCCATCTTCTCTACAGCATTAACTAGAGTAGCCCTGGTAGCCAGTACAATTAGCTGCCAAACTCTAAACAAAAAGTGATTTTCCTACTCAGATATTAATTGAAAAAGAAAAAATGGTCTTGATACTATGATGTTTAGCTCTCATATCACTATTTTTAGAATTATACTTCCTACTATACTGAGTCAAGTAGAGTCCCCCAAAATTTCACATCCACCAGAAGCTGTGAATGTGATCTTAGGTGGAAATAGGGTCCTTGCAGATGTAATCAAGTTAAGATGAGGTCATACTGGATGAAAGTGGACTCGGAATCTAATACAAATGGTACCCTGATAAGAAGAGGGAAATTTCAACACAGACACAGACACATAGGGAGAAGGGCCGGGTGAAGATGGAGGCAGAGACTGGGGTGATGCACCAACAGCCAAGGAATGCCAAAACTGGCAGCGGCCACAGGAAGCTAAGCTGAGGCTAAGACAAGGAAGGATTCTCTCCTAGAACCTCCCAAGAGAAGAGGGCCCTGACAACACCTCAATGTCCCGCTTCAAACCTCGAGAACTATAAGAGAACAAACTTCTGCTGTTTTAAGACAGCTTGTCACATTACGTTATGGCAGCCCTAAGAAAATATTCCTACCTTGTTTTGTTGGTTTGATTGTGGAATTACGTAAATGTCTTATTTACTTATAAAACAGAAATCTAAAAATCTCTAAACAGCAAAATAAAAATAAAAGAAAGGAATTAACTACTGATGAAGTCGAGAGAGTATTTCTAGTAATTTAAGACAGTAATTTTACTGTACATCCCTAGTAGAATATATACTAAGGTCAAAACGAACCGCAAGAACTTCTTAAACTATTTTCAGTAATCATATTTTTAACAAAACCTTTGGTACTTTTATTCCTAGTAATAAGTAATTTGAAACCAAGATTTTCAGACTAAGAGAAAAGATACAAATTTAATATTAGATAAGTAAAAAACATCAATCCTAAATTTGAATTTAAAAATAGGAATGTAAATTAATGATTTATTTTCTCTTTTAAAAAAATTTCCTAATTCTGTTCACTAAAAAAGGCTAGACACAATGCCCAATCTAGTTCCAATGAGTATCTCTAGCACTAAGATTGTGGTCTCTAAATACCATTTGCCAATGAAAAAAATTGGGGCTCTTAGAACACTGGCTGATGCCAGGTCTAAGGAGGAAATGCCTTGTAGTACCTGAAATAAGGAAGCCATGGAATACTAGTGAGGTCATGTCATGGGCACACAAAGCCAAATGCAAGAGCTTTCACCAGCTAAAAATAGGAAAGTTCATAAAATATGTTAAAACCCATCAGATCATAATGTTTGTTTCAAAAGAAGGCACTCCTATGCATCTGACAAAGGATTAATACCTGGAATACATGAAGAATTCAAACAACTTAACAGTAAAAAAATAAATAACCCAATTAAAAAATGGGCAAAAGAGCTTAATAGGTTTTTTTCAAAGGAAGATACACAAATGGCCAACAGACATATGAAAAATGCTCCACATCACTTAGCATCAAGAAAATACAAATTAAAACCACATTAAGATATCATCTCACCCCAGTTAGACTGGCTATTATCAAAAAGACGGAGAACAAAAATTGCTGGCGAGGACATGGAGAAAGGAGAACCCTTCTACACTGTTAGTGGGACTGTAGATTAGTGCAGCCGTTATGGAAAACAGTGTGGAGCTTCCTCAAACTACAGACAGAACTGCCATACGATCCAGTAATCCTACTGCTGGGTATATACTCAAAGAAATAGAAAGCATCATCTAGAAGAGATACCTGCACCCCTATTTTTATCACAGCTCTATTTACAACAGCTAAGAGTTGGAACCAATCTAAATGTCAATGGTCAGAAGACTGGATAAGGAAAATGTCGTATATATACATAATGGAATACTACTCTACCATAAAAAAGAATGAAATATTGCCATTTGCAGCAATATGGATGAACTTAGAGAAAATCAGTTTAAGTGAGATGAGGCAAACACAGAAAGAAAAACACTCTGTCCTCAGTCATTAAGTGGGAGCTAAAATGTAAGCATATAAATGAAACAAAAAGAGAAAAAGACAGAGAAAGAAAGAAACAACAATCAATAATACGTTGAACTTTCAAAAGGAGAAATGAGGTCACTAGAGGTGGGAAAGGGGAAGGAGGTAAGGGAGGAACTGGTAAAGTGTCATGAAAAGTTATGACACACTGTATATTGTTGAATATGCTAATTATTCTGATTTGAGCATTATATATTGCACATAGGTATTGATATTCAACTCTGTACGCCACAGATATGACAATCAACCATATTACAACAAAAATTAAAATTAAAAAAATAAAATAAAATAAAAACAGTAAAATGTATCTCAATAATCAAAAAAAAAGAAAGAGAAGTCACTCCATTGGTCACCACTACAAGATGCTAAAGAACCAATTCACTTTTCTGAAGACTGGTAAATAAAAAGAATCAAGCATTTTCCTGTCTTTCCTCTATGAAGTGTATCTCAGAGAAACCAAATAAGTAAGCCTATTTAAAGTTCTTTATAGAAGAATTACAGAAGTTTTTCTTTATAGAAGAACTTTAAAATAAAGTAGGAAAGTTCTTTACAGAAGAATTAGTTAATAAATGTAGGGGAAAATGACAGAATAATCACTACTTGACAATCCTAATGAAATAACTGACCCAATCCTAGGACAGTGGCTAGGCTACAATGGAGGGATCAGCATGACAATACCTAAAGCCATGATTCATCTTAACTTCACAGAAAGTGAGACAACCAGATATGGTGCACATCTTTGTATGGTAAAGTAGGAAGCACACAGCACCACCTAGGAGATGTTCCTGCCAGAAAAAAAGTCAAATCTTCAGCCATCAAGACTCTGTTCCATCAATTTTCAGGAAACTTGGGACAGAGAAATTGTTAAATTAAGTTTGGCCTAATGTTTCTGCTGACATAGTGAACTAAAAGCTAACTTGGTGAGTAAACAGACTGTAACCTATTCTTACAACAAGCAGCCGAGTCTCAGCCAATTACAGGCAGCCGACTGTTCAAACTGTGTTCAAATAAGGCAAACACCAAGCTGCAACCAGTCTGGCTGTTTCTGTACCTCACTTCTGCTTTCCGTAGGTTACTTTCTTTTTCTGTCTATAAATCTGAGCCTTATTCTGGTTCTAGGGACTGCCTGATTTGCGAATCATTCTTTGCTCAATTAAACTCTTAAATTTAATTTGTCTGAAGTCTTTCTTATAAAAGAACATAATAAGCAAGATGAATTATTTTGGTAATTCTACAGGACAAATGACCTGGATACCTCAACAAATAAATGGCAGGAAAAGAAAAAAACAAAAATGGGAAGAGGAATTTATAGATCAAAAGACTTGAAATACATCAACTAAATGCAATGTGTACACATTGTTTGAATTCTGATTCAAACATACGAACTGTTTTAAAAGAAGTGCCAATCAGGCTGTTTAAACATTGATTTTTATTTGATCATATTAAGGAATTGTTGTTAATTGTTTTCAAGTGTGACAATAGTACTCTGATTAACAAAAATAGTCTGTCTCTTAAGACACGTAGGAAAGTATTAACAGATGAAATGATGTAATGCCTGGGATTTCCTTTAAAAAGAGATGGTGAAGTGGGGGTGTTGCATGCTGTCAGCTGTTGAAGCTGGGAGATGGGAAGGGAAAGAGCCATCTACTCTTTCTACTTTGGAACATCTTTTTGAAAATTTCCACGATATAAAGTTTTAAATTGTTTAGATTCCTAATGCACTACAATAAAATACCACATGAAAACTAACCATTTCAGTGCGAAAAGCCATCTCCCTTTCCAATGTTGACAGGTGAGAAAAATGACGATCATTTTCAAAGAGGTGCGTTATATGGCTCCTGGGAAAACAAAACAACAAAGCAACAGCGTTGAAGCTTACACTATTATTTTTAAAAGCAAATCTAAAAGCAACTATAAATTTGCAGATAATTTTACAGTAAAACTCAAATGCAATGGTATTCATATTTGTTTCCACTCAGTATGTCTCACATTTCTACTAAAATTTCTCTCTATAAGAAAACACATTCAAATTAGATTTTAAAATTAAAATGAACCAGAATGACATTTTAAGTGAAGTACAATAAAAGTATAGTTTAACTGTAAATGTCATTGGGCTACCATTTCAGAAATGTCAAATTAATGAAATTCATATTTCTATCCAGAAGATTAAAAAAATTAATCTTCCTCTCAACATGAGTACTATTAATGTTAAGCAACGTAGAGGCTCAAATATAGCCTCTTTAATAATGGATCTCTTTTTTATTAAAAAACTATATTATTCTGACATGATTTATCAATTAAACTGCTTTTACAGAGTATTCGGTTACATGTAATATACATCCTTATTATTATCAATGCTGAAATCATTCCTTTAAATATATGGAAAGTTGCTTTGGTAAATTATAAACATAAAATACCATAGGAGAAAAAACAACCTTACCAGTGCAACACTGCTGCAAAGGCAGCTGGAAAAAAAAGAAATTTAAATTACTATTTAGAATGAAAAAATATTTTCACCTTACAGAAAAGCATTTCAAAGGATAAGCATGTCAAATATTAGAATGCATAAATGTTGGACTCATAGATTGGGAAGAGAATATTGACTCTTCAAAAGAAGGCTCACAGCCATGCTTAAAATACCAGTAGACTGGATCATAAGGGAATTAGGCATACAGCTACAATTTCCATTCACTCACTCATTCAACAAAATATATGAGGGTCTGTTATTTGCTAAACACTATACAGGAACCATTATATGGAAACTACCACTAATAGAACCAAGAAAGGAATAGAACCAACAGGTAAGGGTAACAGAATAAAAAAATATGGTGGTTCAGGAGAATAGGATCAGGGGTGGAAAAAAAAAGATGAAACTACCACTTTTTATATACTGCTGCAAAGTCTGAAATTTTATGACAAATCTTACTCGTTTTAGAATTTAAACAAGGTCTGAAATTTTACAAGAAATCTTACTCGTTTCTAAAAATATTAAAGTAGTAAAGGAGGGAGGGGAAAAGGAAGAAGAAAAAGTGAGAGAGAGAAGGTGAGCTAATAAAATCAGTCTCATATGAGATCAATAGTATGGTTTCTGTCCAAGCACAAAGAACATATTAGGATAAATATAGAAAATACCATTCAATTTTCTTATATCACAAGATACATATGATTGAAGACTTCTGATTAAATAACTACTAACAAAGGAGTGGCATTATGAAAATACTTTAAGAAATGAAAACCAGGGGCCGGCCCGGTGGCGCACTGGATAGTGCGCCGCTTGGGAAGCGCGGCGGCGCTCCCGCCTGAGGGTTCGGATCCCACATACAGACCGGTTCCCGCTCACTGGCTGAG